AAGTAACCAGGGGAACACAGTGAAACCTTGTCCAAGCTAGTACAATCCTGTAAACAATTCTTCATGATCAATGTTCACGAATGTACATGTTCTCTGAGAAAATGGTTTCACCAAAATGTTTATGTGTGGGTTTCCTGTGCAACTGAAGACCCTAATAATTTAGACATTGTAGAGAAAAGGCAAATTATAATCCAAAAGCACCAATGCTGCAGTTTTCCATGTAGCAGAGGCTCGAGGGTTAATATCATTGCATCTGGCAACTAAGTAAGATATCAAGGATAAAAAAGTTAGCATAAAAATACCAGCAGCTACTCCCTTCATAGCATTTTTCTTCAATTTGCAGGCCAATAATTAGTGCAGAGAAATGTAGAGGCTTTTATTTCCATCACAGACATTTGCAGCATTATCTCAAGTGAGAAATACACAGCAAGCCAAAATAGAGCATTGCAAGACATGCAAGTATGTTCTGGCATTCATAAAGTTTCACTTGAGGGACAGAGGGTGCTTTTTGCCTTGTTGAGAGGCACTTACTTCAGAATAGCAAAAAATTCTGATGCTTAATGATCACATGAGCTGACATCCTAGAAAGCATGGTGCAGAGCTGGGAACTCCCATACTTTAGGCCTATAAAAAACCAAAGTAATGAAAGGACATGGGAGCAAAGGATGTTTCCTATTTTAATGGTAGCTTACAGTGATACAAGTATGGAATGAGGCTGAACAGAGAATTAGTGGCCACATGTTACAGAGTGCATTAGAGTACGCTAGAAGTTCTGCACCTCACTGTCCCCAGGCTATTTAGCATATGAAATGAGACAAAAAGCAACAGAATCTGAAAAGATGGAAAAGCAGAAAAATGAAGACTAGCTCTGGCGTAGAATCATTACTTTGTTTCCTTCTCCCCTTAGCATTTATCTTCGCTTGTAGCCCCTACCATGAAAGGCTGCTCCAGTTTTCCATCAGGGCAGAGATCTGCAAACCCGTATGAGGTATTCATGACCGCCTTACCTGGTACCTTCCCTCCAACACATGGAGGTTTAAATTAGTTGGTTATACCCTGCTGTTTCCATCCCATGTAGTCCTCCAATCCCTGCTTATTCCTATACTAGAATACATTCTCCCACCACTGCTTTCACACATATTCAATTAATTATTTAAAATCTTGCTAACTTTTCTTTCTTTTAGCTGGTTAGCAGCCTTGCTGCCTTATTTTGCAGACCTCCGACCTCTTTTGCTAGTTTTGCTTCCCTGCTGTGTCTAATTTTTCCATGTCAGAAACTTTGCATTACTCTTTATTAGGAAGAAATTTTTTTAAGTTCCAAAGAGTAGGAAACTGCCTGACTCTGCTTACCGTTCAGCAAGGATTACAAATTACTTTTTTTTTTTCAACTTCTCTCTTTCAAAATCCATCCAGACAGCCAGTACATATCTGTATTATAAATAATGTTTTAGCCCAAACTCCCCAAGTAACCATTCACAAATATATGGATTTTGGTGGTTTTTTTCATGAAGAAAGAAGAAAAAAATCTCTTGTGAGATACTTCCTCCTGCAGTACAGGCAGGATCTCTTACAAATAAGGATACCGTGAGGAACATGCACAGATAGGGGAGCATGCAAAAACAGTGAGCCAAGAGCTACATAGCAGCAATCTCTTTGCAGCCGACTGTGACAGGTTACTGATTATCTGTGTTCATTGTGCATCAAAACTTTGTGAATTTGCATTATAAAATCCAACTGAGGGATCAGAAAATACACACTGCTAGACAAAGCCCTGATTTATAACAGCATTTGGTCACATAGTTACTATTTGAGCACATGATGTAACATTTCTATATCACACTAGAATGCACCTTCTTTTTTTTTTTTAATTCAGCTCTTTGTTCTGAATAAAGTGGGTTAGCTCTGGAGGCAGATGGAAGCTCAGCCAATGCTGCCTGCTTACAGGACTGACATAATAGGCATTCCTGTATGGGTAAAGAACATAATTTCACAACACCCCTGTGTATACTACCTGTTGCCAAGGTGAGAGGCAAGAGAGCCCAGTCCACATTTTCTCATCCCATGGGAGCTCCAATTAAGTTAGTCGTTTTGCAAGCTTTCACTCCTCTTCCCACACAATCCTCTGTGCTGTGTGGACATATGACAAATTTGAATACAGAGTTGGCCCATATAAAAATACTTTCTTGAAGGGCTTTACTTATCTGTCCTGATGAGGTTTACTACACTGAAGTAAAATGCTCAGGGAATGAAAAACAATGTATCAGGTCCTGACAATGACTATCATACTATAAGCACAGTTTGACAGGCAGTGAACTCTGGGCCCTGAGCATCCAAAGGCAAAGTCATGATGATACTTAGTGCTGGCATATTCCTCTTCTGATGAGAATTTGTCCCTCTCTTGATTTGATTTGCAAGGGATGCTATTCAGTGCACCAAGCTGCTGGTCACATTTACTGTGTAGTTAGTAAATACTTTGAACAGATGTTAGTGCAGCACATCTCACCCGCTCACCCTCACTAAACAGGACTTGGCACTTTTCTAAGATGTAATAAATGGGGCACCAGTGGGTAATAGTTTGTCACTTCTGTAATTCCTCTATTTTAAATCTGATGATAGGGGGAACTAGAATTCCATAAACTTCTGTTAGATGGTAAATATGACTCAAAGGAAATGCATAGGGTAAATGACAATTCAGAATTCAACTCAGTCTTCTGTGTTCAGAATGATGAACCTTCTGTTTGACTGGAATCTCCTTTGCCTCAGTTGTTTTTCTTCAGCTAGAACAAGAAAAAAGTCAATTTTGAAGAACTCTGGCTAAGTAGTGTTTGCCCTGCTTCCTTCAGAGGCAACACAGGAGACATTTGACTTCTATTAACAAGGCATTAGTTTTTCAAATGAAGACCCACTCCTCTGTGAGCAGTTGCAGTGTGTGACTAGAAGCAAGTTCGTTCGACTGCAAGTGCAGTGACATACCTGCAATTGCTGAAGCAGTTGACACTGCCACTTACCACAGAATACGCTGAGTTGGAAGGTACCCATCAGGATCATCGAGTCCAACTGCACAGTTCACCCAAAAAATCACACCATGTGCTTGAGAGCATTGTCCAAATACTTCTTGAACTCAGACAGGCTTGGTACTACGACCACTTCCCTGGAGAGCCTGTTCCAGTGTCCAATCACCCTGTGGGTGAAAAACTGTTTCCTGATATCCAAGCTAAAGCTCCCTCAATGCAGGTTCCTGCTGTTTCCTCGAGCCTTGTCACTGGTCAAGAGAGTGAAGATATCAGTACTTGCCTCTCCTCTTTCCCTCATGAGGATGTTGAAGACTGCAATGAGGTCTTCTTAGGATTCTACAAATTTCACGGTAGGCATTCAAAGAAAGCAGAAAGATCAGACTGTTTACAAGCGTATTACACTATTCCACTTCAGCAGCTGTGGTACATGGGGGATAATTGATGCTTTAATATCAAAATATTTACCATATTTTGAGTGTTCAGGTAGAAAAAAAAGTAGTATGAGAGCTCATAAGAAAATATGGCTGCAACAGCATGACAGGATAAAGTGAGGATGACTATCATAGTCGCCATGCAATTGGATTTATCCAGCTTAGACCAACCCTCCCTCTCTGTTTGCTTCATCCACGTTTGTTTGACACATCCATAATCAAGATTAAATAGTGGTGAAGTAAGGCAAATGTAATAAAATTTCTACCAAAGATACACATGAAGCATAAATAGCACTTTAGTGCTATCTTTAGGTTACACCTCTGCTACTGTTCCAGCAGAGGTGCCAATATCTGCCTTACAACAAATGCCAAGTGTTTTGTTGAAGTAAAGGTAGGCCAAAATACAGTACTGCCCCCAGTAAAAAATGGCTAGACTAGCAGTACACTTATGTAGAACAAGTACAACAGAGAAACAAAAGCGAGAGCACTTACAAAGTTCCTCGGAGGTGTTGTTTTGACTTTAATACCTTGGACTCTTTTGAAAACATCCAGCAGGATGTTACACAAAACAAACAAACAACATCAGTCTCCTGGGGTTGTACACTCCTGGAATTCTGACAGCACTCAAAAATTGGTCCAAAAGTAACATGTGGCAAGAGGGAGACATCCCTATCTGATACAAATTAGGGTAGTTCCATTTCTAGACTTGAATCAAGAGTAATGATTCCACTTGGGTCTTTTCTGACCCAAAACTGTGGAAGTTTCTAATTTGACATCCTAAAAATTGGTTTCTCTACAGACTAATTTTAGTCTTTCATAACATAGACAAGCAAAGTCAAGCTATCTGGTGAGTTTTGTTTCAGCAAATTTTATTCAGTGAGTTTATAACATGCAGGAAATCAAAGCTGGGGAAAGGAAAAGTCTCCCACCTTCTATCCTCCAACTCCAATCATAAGGTCAGCCTCAATGTTAAATGCTATTAATTACCAAGTATTAGTATAAAGCACATATTTAAACCTTTTTAAAATTAAATGACTGGGAGGTTTTTATGCTTCCTTTTTTTCAGCAAGCCACTGTAAACAATACAATCCACAAAAAGAAAGGAGCAGCCAACAGTGGCACTGTTTGATTATCATTAGCCTCCTGAATGCACTGTATTAATACAATAACTCCCACTAAAATATTCTAATCCAGCAGTTTATTTCTCTTCAGTAAATAGTTCTTGAGGGTTCAGCAAAGTCTAGAGTCAAGAGCCTAGACTCTGATACAAAGCTGCGTACCTGAAATAAAAGACCTTTTGACCTCTTTCAACAGTAATTTAAATAGAAAGTGTAGGTGAAGCAAGAAACGCATCTATTTAAACAGCACAGCACCTTACAGGCCTCTACTCTTTTTAACTATGGGGACCCATTTATTTCAAGGCAAGCAAGCAACTAAAACAACCTGCTCCCTCTACAGTATGTATTGTCAAGTGTGCTTCCATCCTTTTTCCTTCAAAGTGGTTGTGCATGTGAAGTTTTCAAATTTTGTTTGAAGATTACTGGATCAAAAAAAAAGATATTCTAAGCTGCCCAAATTAGCCTACTTTATTAATTGCTGTTTCACAGCCATTATTAAGCAGTATATTAATTCTAGTGTTTCATGAGCATGCGCTTAATTCATCAGATGAAAATAACACTCCAAAAGTTGTGTTCTCATACTTCTACGGAAGTATAACAACATCAAAAACATGCCAGTTTGTAAAGGAGGCATATTAATGATCATGATAATGAATTGCCAAGCAATTGCCTTCAGTCATATTTTTTTTTTCGTGGGTACTAAGCATCTTCTCCTCATTCAAACATTCCTTGAAGTTGTGAATATTCAGTACCTTACAGTTTCAGAGTTCTGCTGGCTAAGGAAGAGCATGAGGTAAAAAAAAACCTTCCAAAACAATGCTACCCTAAGGGACTCAAGCATATATAGCAGTAAATGCAGAGCATTTTACTGAATTACCAAACTCAAGACTTTAATCTAACTGCACCCAGAAGACATTTTGCAAGCTGGAGTGGCATTCATTCCCTTGAGAGGACATCACCCCAAAAGAGTCACACTCACCCTGGTGAAATCCCTTCCACACATCATAGCTTCACATAGGGTTTGGCCCTACAGGTCAGGTGATCTCTTCACAACCACCAAGTGAGTAGGTCTCTACATGGAGTGACAACCACCACACATGTAGTGACTTCTTCACACAGGCTTCCCTACATCCTACACGTCCCGAAGCCCAATACTGCCCAACAGTTTTCTTCAGACTTCCTCTGAAGCCACAATCAGCGCTCACCTCTCCTCAGTACCAACTCTGCAGCACCCACACTCGATCTAGACCAGCTGTGTGAAATCTATCTTCTCCCAGTCGGTCATGTCTCCAACAGAATTCCTCCTTCATAAAACTCAAAAGGACATTTTAAATACTAAAAAACAAAGCAAAACAAAACAAAACCAATAAAAACAAAGGAAAAACCCACAAACAAACAACAAAAAAACACACACAAAAAACCCCCCAGAACCAAAAACAAAACAAAACCCTCCCACACACAAACAGAAACCATGGAGCCGTCGCCTCGAGGGCCTTTGCCCCGTAAAGCTGCTCCGTCCTTTGAGCCTTTACCCGGCCTCAGCGAGGAGCCCAGGGGCCCGAGCGTCCTCACTGCCCCCCAGGACCGCAGCTCTCCTTTCCGGGGGCGACCCCTCATCTCCGTGCGGACACGGAGGGCAGGCACCGCTCCCCCCGCCCGGCTGAATGCCGGCCCGCCGCACGGCAGGCCCTGGCAAACCCCAGCCTCCGGGACCTGGCTCTCCACCACTACAGAGCGGAGCGGAGAGGGGCCACGTCGTGCCATGCCATCCATGCCGTGCCATGCCATCCCACGCTACCCCATGCCACCCTATCCCGTCCCGCCCCCGGGCATCCGGTCAGCCCCCTCGGAGGGGCGGGCTGCCGGCATAAAAGCAGGGCTGCTCCGCTCTTTTTCACTCCGCCCTGCCCTGCCGGGTTTTCTGATCTCTTGCCCTTTCGTCGCCCTCCCCAGAGTCGCTGTGCCACGCCGGGCAGACGGAGGTACCCACGTTCCTGGGGGCGTTCTGGCCGGGCGAGCGCTGGGGGACGGGACAGGCTGTGTGGTCGCTGGACGGGAGGAGCGGGGGGGGGGTGGCCGGGAAGGCGGCCTGAGAGCGGATGGTGAGCCGGTTACCGCAGCTGAAAGCTGCCCGTGGGTTTTGCTATGATGCCGATTGGGTTAGCGGACGCTAAGTGAGAGTGAGGTTGTCCGACATCCTCCGGGCGGTGAGGAAGGTGCTGCTGCACCTCAGCTGTTGGACAGACTTGGCGACGGGACCACTATATTTTTGTGGGATCGCAACCCTGCAGATGCAGTGAAAAAAATTCATGCATGCCAAATCCTGCTCAGGAGATTGCATGATCAACCTTTAGTCCCTTCGGCTAGTGTTTTGCGGTTCAGCTGCCAGCTTCAATCCTGCCCTGTGACTTGCGAGCTTAGATAGTAGTCTTTTCAGAGTCTGTCAGGTCTGCAAGAACCTGTCGGCTGTGAGTTTTGTCACAGGTACCAACAAGCCTGTGTTAGCAAAGTTATCTGCACTTGAAATTCTGTCTGATAAGGCATTATAAAACCTCTGATACCTCACCATCAGTAACAGATTTCCACACTTATGACTGCGTGGATGTAGACATATTAAAAAATGATACACGGCATCAGAAATGATCTGAGATCTTATATGTGCCAAAGGCATCTTTGGTTAATTCACCTGGAAAACAATTCCTGGTTGCTTTAGTTGGGGACGCAAAATTGGCCAAGTGAGTTGGTAAATTTAATTGTCTGTATGGGAATGCTTTCTTACAGTAGCTGGTATAATTAGCAGCGCTAATGCAGTGAGTGATAATGGAGGACTCCTGCCTCAGTCGAAGTTGGGTTAGGGAGAAATGTGTCAGTGGAAATTGTCTCTTTGAAGAGTTGGTGTTCTAACAGGAAGTCTCCTGTGGTCTGTATGCCTAAATGAGTCTACTTCATTAAGTGAAAGTACTTTTTTGAAAAATCTAATGTGTGTTTGTCCTATACAGGCCTAATATATGATTATTTTACTTAAAGAATTAGTGTCATAAGTTCTAAACTGGGTTTAAGTCGAATTGTTTATTGCGTCTGAAGGCAATTGTCTCCCTCGGTTTTCCTTAGGGATTAAGGGATCCTTATCTATTCCAGAGTTACCAGTCCCCTTTCATGTAAATGGAAGGTGTTTTGTTTAGTGCATTAAATTAGTGTAATCAGGCTAAATTGAGCAATTGCATTTATTTTAAAGATTTGTTGCTTCTGTTTGAAACTCAAAAAACAACTGGTGTTTCCAAAAACTTGCTAATTTGTTTATATATATATATACATGAAATTTAATGGCACTTTTATAACTCTACTTTTGCTTAATCTGTAGTAGCTCTATAGCTATGAGAGCCTATTACAGGAAATGTCAATATTAGCTCTAGAAAAGTATTCCTGGGCTGCTTTGATATTTCTTACGTTTCTTCCTGGTGTTACTGCCTCTTTGTATATTTAGTCACATTTTAATGGGAATGAGGAATAGAAAGCATTCTCCGTAAGACTTCTCCAGAAAGAAGAACTTGTTTTTCTACCCACTATGTTTTTGACAAGTGTTTTTCTATTATTGGAATAGTTTTAAGATGTTCTAATGTTTCTGCCAGAAAACTTTCTGAAGTAACTAGCTCTGTTCTAGCAGTGGCCTATCTCTTTTCAAGACTGCCCTAGTTTCCCATTTACAAAACCTGAGACTCATGATAACACATTTATGTCCACATACTAAATTTCATGAACTTTGCTCAGAGTAACAGAGATCTAAATAACTTATCTCCTGGCACTTGTCAAACACGATTACCTATATACATAGATAGCAAAGTTCACTAAGAATGTAAGCAAACTGGGCATGTAGTGCTAAAGGTTGAAGTGTAAGTGCCAGTGTACTCTACATTTAGCTGAGAAGGAAGATATTAAGCTTTCATACTGTAGTTAGAGATTAAAGATCTGCTTTGACCAATGCTGTGTGCTTCTTGCATAGCATTGGTATACTGGCAAATAAAATAACAAGGGCTTAAATGCCTGCTTGTTTTTTGTCATTACTGGGATGAGTACAGACTGTGAGGTTAAAAGCATACCTGAGATAGTATGATTCAAGCCTATGACATTTGCTTCATGCAGGAAAGTGAATAAAACACAACAGCTTTGCAGTGAGTTCTTACAGCACTGTGTTCAACTGCAAAAGGAGACTCTCCTCAACAATGGTAGTACAGGTAGTTGAAAAGCTAGGAGTGACAGCCAGTTGCTTGCCTGCTGTGTTTGGAGATTTATAAGCATACTGTCTTCTGAAGCTCCCTATGTTTATGGTTTCTTGTCTTTTTTTTTTTTTTTTTTTTTCAGCAGAGTTGAGACTGTGACTTGTTCTAGATGTGATTTTGTGACAACAGAGTGCCTACAAAGCAACGAACATTGTGGCCCTTAAAGCAGAATTTTTCCTTACTAAAGTACTAGCTTGTGAGCACTAACATTGTTTGTCATGCATTTCTATTTAAGATGCTCAATTAGTAGATATCACTCTTTTTTTTTTTTTTTTTTTTTTTTTTTTTTTTTTTTTTTTTTTT